TCCTTATCACTGCTGATATTGATTGAGGGCCAAATCTCCTCTTACAAAGCTATGAACAGTGAATTCTCCTTTTTCTTAAAAAAAAAACTGTTTTTGATGTGAAATAAGTCTTATGACATTGAGAATTGTTCTACATTTATTCACTTTTGTTCTATAATATAATACAATCTAAATTATATGATTTTTTAAGAATATATTAATATTAAAATTAAAATTAATTAATATTTTTAGGTTGCCCCTGTGTTTTCAGTTAAACCAATTTTCTATCAAGAATGCTGTTTTGCTATCCGACAACCAAATTGCAACAAACGAACCGTTAATTTTGGAGGAAGAATGCCGCATTTTAAGGTCTTCTTACTATTAATAGTTATAATTGTACGGTTTACATCACTTTTTTAATTATAATTGTACGCATTTCTGTTTCCTACCTTCTTGAGTTTTTCGCTTTCTCTGATGGAAGAGTTGGAGCAACGTCGATTCGTAACTATGGGCTTGGGCCATAAAAAGCATGTGATTGAAACACCAACAGTTCATCCAGCTCACGATTAAGCAACGCTGATCATGATCCTAAATTCAGGCCCAGCCCAAATCTCTCCTTTGTCGGTCTGCGCCTAAAAATCTAAGCTGTATTTCCTTCTTTTTTCTTTTTTTTTTTTGGGTAATAAAAATCTAAGCTGTAGCCTATAAGAAAACTGCACTATAATCCTGCAAAATACATAAGTAAAATCAAGAAAACATGAAAATTACGTTTTTTTTTTTAAATACTACAAATTTTTTATATTCTTTGAGGATGTCCCAAGTCCCAGTTGTTTTGTTTGCATAATTTATTGAACGTTGCCAGCTAATTAATTTAATTTAGTATTTTCGCTTAGACAAAAAAATTAAAAAAAGAGAACACGACTTGTAAATTGTAAAATTAGAAAGTTTTAGGTCGGTTATTGTCACCCATGATTTTATTATTATCAATGTCACACATTTTAATTGTAATTTAATTTATTAATTTATAATTTTTTTTTAAGAAACATGAATGAATGCCCAAAAAAAAAAAAAAAACTCGAATAAAGCAAATAAAGAAATGTCTTTGATTTCTAGAACATAAAATGTACCATGGTGGCCGCACCACCTTCCCTAGTAGCTAGCCCCGTGTCGTTGTCATCCATTGTCAGTTGTGCCATTTGTTTGGAAGAGCTTCATCAACAACTGTGGAAGAACTCCGGTGCTCATAGTCGACAGCCGCACCGACAGAGGAGCTCCGGTGCGGTTGGGCCTGGACGACGACAGCTCAACGAGCGTGGATCCTATCACGTGATGCCTGACGAACCTGCACGTACCGGCCATGAAACCGAAAGTTGATGAGAACGAGTCAGCAGGGTGTTTCGCTTTCCTTTTTCCACCCTTTCACTTTGAACCATAATTCCTATGACCAATCGATCGGTCTTTACCAAGAAATTCCTCAGTCAAACTTCTCCTTCCCTCCTTTAAATCCGACACCCATCTTTCCCTTGCTTCATTATTCAGGATTCTCCCCTGTTTATTGATAATCATTAATTTCAGAACCCTGAAAACCCATTTAATCCTTTTCAGAATACTGTTCATTTTGATGGCTTTTCCTTTTCGGCTCCTATGCGTTTGGCGTCTGACATAGCCGGATATCTAATGCAGAATTCTTAATTGTTTATATATTCCATGCTTTCTGCTTATAATTCTTCATTGTTTGGTTGCTAAAGATGGAGAATATGGGAGATTGGAAGCAGAGGAATCTAATTTATGAGCTGACACAAGGAAGAGAGTTCGCGAAGCAGCTTCAGTTGCATCTCAATGGGCCATCTTCATCCCAGGAAACTCTGGAATCGCTGCTCCAGAGGATCCAAGCTTCCTATGAAAAGTCGCTTTCAATCCTCAAATGGAACACCTCGGTGGCGATGGAGGTGCAGACATGTTATCTTTTTGGTGCAAGTATACTTAGTTCATCGTTATCTTTATTGTTAACCGTAAGCATGTTCTGATTTCATAAAAATAAGGAGAAACTAAATATTATTTGCTAACATTATATGTATGCAGCAGCCTGAAAGTGACATAACTGAAGAACTCGGCATGCGAGCAGACATAGAAACAGAGGATGAATTGCCATTTAGTGTTGAAAGATATTCCAATATGAGTTCCAGGCAAGGTGGAAAAGTGCTGACTGAGATACCAGAAGGAGACGAATGGATTGCTCCAAATATCTGTGCAACTGTTTGTAAACCTGTTCTCCCAGAATCTCCAAACTGCCCATTTCTGGTTGCTCTGTCCTTGGAAGGAAGCAAAGCTCTTATGGCTATCCCTTCGTCGTTCTTTGAGCACATGCCTGTCCTTACACGCTTGAATTTGTCTCATACTAGTATCAGATCTTTGCCTGTGTCTCTTTTCAAGTTGGTTTCACTTAAAGAACTCAGTCTAAGGCACTGCAAACTCTTCATGGAATTGTCACCACAAGTTGGACAACTTTATAATCTTGTTTTGCTAGATCTTGATGAGACTCAGATTGCAGAATTGCCAAAGGAGATTGGAAAACTTTCTAATCTAGAAATTTTGAGATTATCCCTTGATGGATACATGAATTGTGGAAAGCAGTTGCAGCAAAATGTATTAATTCATCCTGGGACCATTACAAGGCTCTCGCAGTTGATGGAATTAAAAATTGATGTGAATCCGGAGAATGACGACTGGAATGCAGTCGAGGAAGTTGTTGTAGAGGAAATCTGTAGCCTGGAAAGATTGCAGCATCTTATATTATACCTGCCAAATGTTCAGATTTTGGGAAAACGCACAACAGGTAGCACATCACTCAGTTATTATCCATTGTGCCGGTTCAAGTATACTATTGGGCAGCATAGACAGCGTATCATCTCTCGAGTACCAGAAAAAGTTGAAGCTTGCTTTCAAGAGTGGGACAAATGCTTGAAATTTGTTAAGGGCAATGATATCTCAAGTGAGATGAAAAGGGTAGTTGGATACACAAAAGCATTCTACCTTGAACGTCATGCCACTGCTAGAAGCTTGTGTGATTTTGGGATCAAAAATATGAAGAACCTAAAGTTCTGCTTATTGGCAGAATGTAATGAAATCCAAACCATCATAGATGAAGGAAAGTTTTATGAAGAAGAAAAAATTGATATAGTTGAAGATGTGGAGACAGATTGTGGGTCTGGAGTTAAGGCATATACTGCTCAAGAACCTGTAGTTTTGAATCTACAGTACTTGCACATCTATTACCTGAAGAATTTAGCGAGCATTTGGAGAAGCCCCACCTATGATAAGCAGTGTCTATCTGGCTTGAAGGTCCTAGAACTCCATGTGTGCCCCAAATTGAGTGTCATTTTCTCACCTGCTTTGCTCACTAATCTTGGCAAGTTGGAGGTGCTTGTAGTTGAAGACTGCCCTGAATTGACCAGTGTTGTAAGCCCAACAAGCAATGCATCCTTTGAGTTTTCACTAGATTGTTTTCTGCCTAGCTTGAAGATGATGCTACTTCTTTTCCTTCCGAAATTGGAAAGCATATCTAGTGACTTTCACATTGCGCCAAAACTAGAAAAGATAGGATTTTATGATTGCCCAGAGCTTAAGAGTCTTTCTACAAGGGAAATGTCAAGTGAAAATTTGAAAGCGATCAAAGGAGAAAGGGAGTGGTGGGAAGCATTGGAATGGGAGGAGTCAGAGTGGAAAAGTCAGCCCGATTATCTCCATAGCATTTTCTTCCCAGTTGACGAAGACGATGATGTGATGACACAAATGCAAGAGATGTATGACAATGGGTCCACTGCTAATCAGGGGATAGTAGAGCAAGTGGTGAGGTCCACTGCTAATCAGGGGATAGTAGAGCAAGTGGTAAAGTCCACCTCCTTTCCCCTAGATGATAGAGCTGGGTTGGTTAGAACCTCAACTCAGTGTTATCCCCCTCCCTGCCCTGTAAAGCAATAAAAAAAGATACAGAACCAGGACGTCCATGGTCTTGGTTGCTCAGATATCAGATGAAGTCATAGAGGTAGTGCTAAATTTAAGCCTCCGAATTTTGATTATGGTTTGTTTTATGAAAAGCAGTTTGAAATTTATAATTATATGTTATGTGATCTAGACCAACTACTGAATATTGAGGACATATGTTTAAGTAAATTCTAATGTCACGAGTATTTGCAAGATTGGCTTTAATGGCTGTGTAAATATTGTTGCTTTCCTCCTAATGGCCTCATTCTTGACATTCTAAAAGATTTTATGCCTAACTTATGCTGACTTCATCTTGGTTATCATAAATTTCAAAGTTTACTGATTTTGCATGTCATAAATTTTGCTAGCATGGTGTTGATATCAAATGAGTAAAATAGTGATGTTTTATGGATTCTATTTATGCAATCGCTTCTAATCCAGTCGCTGGGGAGGGCCTAGGGACTAAACCTGTATTTGAAGGGATTTTGTTGCTAATGTCTTGGGGTTGACATGGTCCGAGGTCATGCCTCTGCTAGAAACTTGTGTAATTGTGGGATCAAGAATATGAGGAGCCTAGAGTTCTGCATATTGATCAAATGTAATGAAATCCAGACCATCATTGATGGAGGAAAGCCTTAAGAAGAACAAACCAATATGGTTGAAGGTGAAGCAACCAACTGTGAATCATATTCTGCTCAAGAACTTGCACTTTGGAATCAACAGTTCTTGCATATCTATTACCCGTAAAATTTAGAGGGCATTTGGAGCAACCCCAACTATAATAAGCCATGTCTATCTACCTTGAAGGTCCTAGAACTCCATACGTACCTGAAATTGGAAGTCATTTTGTCACCAGCTTTCCTTATAAATCTCAGTCGGTTGGAGGTGCTTATTGTTAAACAATGCCCTGAATTGACCAGTGTAGTAAGCCAAGAAAGCCATGCATTCTTTAGGTCTGCATCAAAGTGTTTTCTTCCTCACTTGAAGATGATGTTGCTTCTTTTCCTTCCAAAATTGGAAAGCATTATTCCAGGGAATTTCACATTGCACCAAAACTGAAAATGATAGGCTTTTATGATTGCCCAGAGTCTTATGTACCTTTGTAAAACGG